CGGATTGAAAGATGGGATTGATAGTGTATCCTAGGTGCATGAGCATTTCAAATGTAGTAAAAATGAACAAATGAAACACAAACATGTATTATGTGTTTTTAGTTTGAGTAATGTGAGTTGTGGAAATTGTTTGAAATTTCTGTGTGAGATACTTTATTATAAAAATGAAATGTTTGACTATAAATGTTACATATGGTTTTAGATTGTGGAAGTTGGAAAAATTTTCGGTTTAGTGTTCTGGAGTGATGAGAAAAGGAAACTCATCCTTACTGTTATATTTCAGGTAATGATGAAACAATTGTGGTGGAGGAACCACAATTTGATTGAGTATCATATACATATGCATGGAAGAATGCTGTCTTCTGAGACGGGCATGATCTTGTATAATAAAGTTAGGAATTTTGGGTACCTGCTCTGATTAGGATTTGCTTTATTTTGAGATGTATAAATTTAAAAATTAAGTTCTAATCGTTTAAGGGTACAAACTTTATGTAATTATAGTATGATCCTTGTTGGATTAGTTATTTTGAAAAACAATGTATTATGATTATGAATGTTATGTATGAATGTTATGTATGAATATGTTCGACACCTTAATTATATATATTTATTCACGCATGATCATTTTTAAAGTTCATTGTCATAAAGACATAATATTAAAAAAAAAATTATTTCCATTTTTGAGAAATTAAATAAAATAGAAGAAAAAAAAATGACGTTACATTGGAGGTGCTTGCAAAATGAGCATTTTCTGTCTTGTCTTGCTTTAGTCTTTTCTCTTCTTGTATGCAATGTGAAATGAGCTCATTAAGAGACCATTTATCCTTCTGACGAGTTGTAAGATACCTTAAATTGATTAAACGTTGCAGGAAGAGAAATCAACACCAAATGAATGAGCAAGTGTTCTGAGAGTTCAAGCTTTAATGCCTTTAGTTTAAAAACAATATTAGACATGCTCATAATGTACTCCTTGATATTTCATTTGTCATGATATTTCATGGAGATCAAGTTCTGAAGAAGAGTGTTTGTCTCCGCCTTATCGCTTTTTGCAAAGCGCTGCTCAATTTCAGCAAGAAATTCTTTGGCACTTGTGATGTTTTCAGAAACAGTGCCCCTAAACACCTCCGGGATGCCGCGCTTAATGATCATTAGACTCATGCAATTTGAGCGATCCCACTTCTCATATTCTCTTTTCTGTTCAGAGGTACTTGAATCCGTAGGAGTATGGGGTTGCTCAGTCCTTAATGCAAGATCCATATCCATGCAACCAAGAACAATATCAATGTTCTCTTTCCAATCCTTAAAATTTGTTCCATTGAGAACCGGAACAGAATTTAAATTGACAGATACAAAAGCAATTGTAGTTGAATTTAGAACACAAGAAATAAACTAATTATGCTCACATTATATAAAAAATAAATAATATATATTCAAATAGTGGTTTAACCCATCTCAAGACACTCAATGCATCATCAATATCAAATCTTTGGACAGTAATATTAACTGCTAGAGGTATCTTGTTGTAATAATCAAACATTGACAATAAAACATGTCTAACAACAAACCAGTCTTTGGATTGATTTATCATCGACAAAGCAAATCCTTATAATTATCACATGTTTATCATTACAAGTGTGTATGCAATTCGGCCAAATATTAATCTTCCTTTGGGCCGACTAATACTCGCATGAATATACACAAACACTAACATTCAATATTTTTCATGAACTGCCCAATTCAAGAGAGGTTACTTTGGTGACTTCTTGACTCAATTTGCTCACAAAAAATATTAAACTACCAATAATTGAATATTTTATTTATATAACAAAACCAAATATTTAATATTTACAAACTAATTCAAAAGAGAATCACTTCATTAGAATTCTACTAAAGATGAACACCTCCCTAAAATCTCATTAGGGATGAACACCTCATTTGAATAAATCAAAGGATAAAAAAAGGCCTCATTTTCCACCAATACATAAAGGATGAACATCTTCCTAAAATCACACTAGGGATGAAACAAAGATAGTTCTAAGTTTCTTTAGCATTCTGCTCTAAACCCTAAAAGGGGATTAAACAGTAATCATTCAAATCCTAAACAGTGAAATTTAACATCAAATTTTCCTAAAGGCAATAAAATAAGAACAGTCACACCTGTGGAAACATTCACCATTTACCTAATATTCTTTGTGTTGGGAACACCACCCCCAATTCCAAACCCATAAAATTAAATAAAAACAAAAAATTCGAAAAAGAACAGAGAACCCAATACAAGAAAGATTGAAATTTGAAACATTGTTTCTTTCTCAGTAAAACTTGAAACTTAAACTGAAACAAAAGGATAAAACGAAGAAGAAGAAGAATCCATAGTTTCCTCCATGGCTCCATCAACAAGCAGAATCAGATTGGGGATGTTACCCCCAAATTTAAATTTTAGGGTTCACGAAAATTAGAGATTATTCTCCACTTAGGGTTCATAAAATTTGGTAATTTGAATTGTTTAAAACAAAATTAATCCTAATTTTCATAATTAGGGTTCTATAAATTAAACAGACATGAATCAAATATGGTCGGCTCTGATACCAATTGTTGGAAAATTAACAATAATAATAATAATAATAATAATCTTGATTTTGATTCTAACGATCAAACATAAACGTAATCACATACTAATAATCATGTTGTAAACTGAATGCGAAAACGTACCTGAATTAGCCATAATGATGATGTCTTTGTAGAGCACTATATTGATCTTATAATCTTCCACCTGAATAACACCTGTATTTCCCTCTTGATTTTCTCTCTTGATGGGGATAGAAAGAAAGGAACAGGAATGAAACTTACGTTCTGTCTGTGTGCTCCCAGGAAGGGACTATGACCCTTTAGATAACCAGAATTAGGTTAATTACTTAAGTTTTAGTGTTTCCAATTTGGCCCCTCATCAAATTAGAAATTGCTCAATGGTCTCTACACAATTTTATTTTCATGACATATGCCTTTACCCAAAACTTTAATTTAGTCATATCACTTTATTATTTGGCTTAATAAATCATGACCCTAACACATTTAAATTATGTATCATATATATACATGACCCAAATTTTGCCAACATAATTTATTTACATTAATGACTAATGCAAGACTAATTAATCTTCAAAGAGACTTTGCAAAAAGATAAATGGAAGAAGGTCATACTTAAATAATTGGAGGTAATTGAGAAAAATCATACTTAAAAGTTGACAAATTTACCCCCTCACATGAAAGTTATAGATATTGGATGAGTCTTCAAACTAAAAGTGAATTTAGATGGTTTCATAGCAAGACACGAAACAAGGTTGGTTTTGAGAGGATTCAAACTAAAGTTGTTAGTGAATTATACTGAAGTTTTTGTTCTAATAACAAGATTTGAAACTGCGAGATTGGTAATAGTCTTGACAAGCACCAATGATTAGTCTCTTTAACATATGAACATGAAGTCTAACATAATCTCCATAATATATTTTGACCAAAAATAACAATGAAAAAATAAAGAGATTCAAACCGAAATGATGATTAAATTTGGGATGACAGATAGGAAATTAAACTTATTTTCTTTATACAAAGTAAGTGAATATAACAAAATTATTTTACATAAAAAAAATAACATGACGCATCAAATAGATTATGCACGATTGATTGTAATTCATCTACTATGTCAACAAAAGTTGATTCAAGATAAAAGTTGTTATATATCTTAATGATGAATAGATGCATCTAATTTTTCTTTTGATTATATATATATATATATATATATATATATATATATATATATATATATATATCTTTTTAGAAACATAATGATATTTCAATAAATAACATGTAGTTATCTTACTAATTACAATATTTGTTTATTTTTGAAATAATATAAATTAACTTTATTTTTAAGAAAATTGCATATGGATGAAAAAGTTTATATAATTAATTATAAATAATAATTAATTTAATTAATTTTTTAAAATAAATATATTAAAACAAAGTTTCACTTACTTAAAAAAAACAAGTAAATTATAAAAAAAATTAAAATTGTTATATATGACTAATTTATAAATAATTTATATATTCATAAAACTTAAAGAAGGAAATATTAATTTTATAATTCAAAAATTTACATTTTCTCATTAAATTTATTAATTAACTTTTGAATTCTTTTCTTTTAGTTCTATATAGTGGAGTGGAGTCACCTTACCTTTTCTTACAAGTATAACATTAAGATTTTAGGCTGCGGACAAATTTAAACTATTAGAATGAATAAAAAAAAAAATCTTAACATATTAAAAATTTTATGCCACGATTGGATTGTATAAAGAAAGAAATGAGATCTTAGATTAGTGAAAGTTAAAATTGAACAAATTAAATAATAAATAAATAAATAAATAATATATATATATATATATATATATATATATATATATATATATATATTCTCCTTTTTCAATTAAGCGGAGACATTTTATAATATAAATATGGTTAAATTTTGTATTATATGATACTAAAATTTGTAATATTTATATTATATAACCGATAACTAATATGTAATACATTTTTTATTGATATTTTGTATTGTTTATAATAACAAATAATTAAATATAAAATAAATATATTGATTAATAATAAAAAATATTGTTTTTTTATTAAGCCTAAAAAACTGTAATATTTATATATTTCATTTCTCATTTTCATCCTCAAACAAAATATTAAGATCGTGTTAGTACAAATTATGCGGCAAATTAACTGAAAAAGAAGTTTTTTTAAATAGCTATATTTTATTTTCTTTTTTTACATTAAATAAACACTTCTCTAACATTAAATAAACACATTCATCATGCTCAATAAAAGAAAAACCTAACAAAATGAACATATTCTTCTTCTTCATCCAGTGGGAGTGTTACTAACCTCGCACTGAGCGCCTTCCACCACCACCACCATCACCACCCCCCTATCCTCTGCTCCGCTTCAAAATGAACGCAACGCGCGCCGAAGCGGAGCGTCTCCTTGGGATCGCCGAGAAGCTTCTCCAGAACCGCGATTTAATGGGTTCGCGCGAATTTGCGATCCTCGCGCAGGAAACTGAGCCTCTTCTCGATGGTTCAGACCAGATCCTCGCCATCGTCGATGTGCTCCTCGCCGCCGATAAGCGCGTCAACAACCACCCGGACTGGTACGCCATCCTTCAGGTTGATCGGCGCTCCGATGACCTCGACCTCATAAAAAAGCAGTACCGCCGCCTCGCGCTCCTCCTCCACCCCGACAAGTCCCGCTTCGCCTACGCCGACCATGCCTTCAAGCTCGTCGCCGATGCCTGGGCGCTGCTCTCCGACCCTCTGAAGAAGTCTGTCTACGACAAAGACCTCTCGTTCTTCTCTCGCGTGGATTTGTCCGTGCCGGGATGGGTCCAGCAGGAAAAGCTTCCAGTTCGTAGGACTGGGCCCGGGCCCAACACCCGCAACAGCGCCTCGGCCCGCGGCGAGATTCACGCTGATGAAAACTCCCGCAGGAGAAACTCAACTTTCTGGACCGCGTGTCCCTATTGTTACCGTCTGTATGAATACCCTAGGGTTTACGAGAATTGTTGTCTACGGTGCCAGAATTGCGATAGATCCTTCCACGGCGTGGCGGTTCCGTCGCTGCCACCGCTGGTCCCCGGCCAGGACGCATATTATTGCTGCTGGGGGTTCTTCCCTATGGGGTTTGTAACGGGCAGCTTCGGATCACCGGAGAAGGAGGCGGAGGCGGTACCCGCACCGCCTCCTCCTCCTCCTCCTCCTCCTCCTCCTCCTCCTCCTCAACCGGCTTCTTCTTTGCCGAATTGGATGCCCGTGCCCGTGCCCGTGGCGGCGGAGAACGGTGCGCATTCGACACCGGTGACGGCCAGGGTTACTCGGTCGGGGGCGGCTGCGGCAACAATGGTTGCGAGGGGGACAAACGGGACTGTGCCGAAGAAGAGGGGGAGGCCGAGGAAGTATCCTTTACAGTCGTGAGAAAAAGGGTTTTGGAAGTGGATGTGAATGAAGATTTGTAGGTACTGCTGTGTTGTTTAGTTGTTTATTGTAGATATGGTTAACTGTTTTTTGTCTCTAGAATTTTGTGTTTTTTACTTGACTCTGTAGTTTATGCTATGGGGCTTATTGTATGCCTGTTCAGGAGTAGAGCAATGTGGTCGATTATCCTTAGCCGAAATTAGATTAAGAAGGCCTTAAGGCCCCTTAACTCTTTTTATTTGTTTTTCTTTTTAAAAAAAGGGTTCTGCTAACCATGGGAAGCTGACGCCTTTAATGCCATGGACATGGTTTTGAGTTGTTTTTGTTGTAGCGGTTACATTGCGAATTGAAGTGATCGTAGTTGAGGTTTTGTTAAGAGTTTGATTCTGCTGTTGCTGTACTGTTCGAGGGTGTTCAATGTATTATTGAAGAAGGAACGCTTTTGAAAGACTTGCACTAGTAATCCGAATATGCACATTCTTGATGGCTTGTTTATGTTAAAATTCTGAACATGAGATGGGTTGTTTTACCGGGGGAGGGTGAGCCTTGACATAGTGATGAAGTTGTGACTGGTTAATCCTGGATTCAAATTCAGAGACAACTTGTTTGCATGGTAAGGAACCTTCTCAGACTGGGGTACCCTGGTTTTTATTAACATGAGATGGGTGGAAAACTCTACAGTTCAACACTGATGCTTAAATACCCTTTTGTCTAGCACTAGTTAGCGGCATGCAACTGTTGGATGAAGATCCATCAATTCAAATTTTAAGTTCAATTTATTGAGATAAATAAAGTATGAGCTATTTGATCCTTAATTTGCCCCACTGTGGGGGAATTTGTGGAAATTGTGAATCTTGATCCCCGATTCTGGCTATTCATTCATGACGACTATTTTTGTGATAATGAAGTGCTTTCTAAACTGATGAATGCATTTGAAAATTCTAAGTGGGAACATATATGGCTTAATGCTGACAGTAACTTAGCAAGTGTTCATTTGTTGTCTTACTTGTTACTGATATCCATGGCTGGACATTTCTGTTTCTGTTGATAAAGTCGTGTCCTTTTCCAGAGCATTTGCTTCATAGTAATATGTACTCGAGGAAATTCTATTTAGGGATTCTTCAAACTGATATTTAGATGCAAAATATGTTTTTTTTTTCTTTTTTACTTTAAATAAACTTTAACAAGAACCTAAACATATATAAAATATACCTGTACCTGTTAGGTACCTTTTACAGGTATAGTTCATAAAATGGTGTATGCAAATTGTTACATGATATTGCAAAATGAACTAGTTAAGGGTGTTTTAGGTCCAGCCTTTATTACTTCTCTAAATTTTAATTTACGAAAAAAACTTAATTTTATTTTCTTTTTTAAAAGGTAAATAGAGAATTTTGTTCAAAATATATAATATATACAAGGTAGTAAGATTCTAGATTTAGTTTGATAGATTTGTTGACAACATTGTTAATTGTTTTTTTAGCATTTTGTTATTACTCTTTGTTGTATTCATACTACTACACTATGCAAATGATGAGTCTTTTTATAATATTGTAAAAGATAATGCAATAAAATAAATAAAAAATGCCCAACTTGAATACCCAGTGTCTTCTAATTCAGAGTATATCCCTACCCCCACATGGAGAGAATTAATTTGGAAAAAGATACCTCCTCTGTTTAGTGGGGAGAGGAAGAATTTAATGTAGAGCTCATAAACAAAACCTTCCCTCCAAAGTGAGAGAAAGTAGGCAAAATGGGAAAACATTTTTCTCCCAAGTGGAGGAAGTTGAGGATTTTTTATTTGTTTTAATTTCCAGTTTTAGTTATTTCAATATTAATTTTTTGAACAACCTAAGCTACTTATGAATAAAAAATATATTTCATAAGAAAAATATATCCTGTTAAATGGTTTAACAAATTTAAATTATTTTTCATTATTACAAAATAGTTGTTTTATAACATTTATTCATTTATTAGTCATCCAAATAAGTTTATAAGATTTTCTCTATTTCTATTCTTGTTTTTTCATTCAACAATATATATTTACTTTTTCATCTTATTTTTCTTTTACATGATATATATTTTCCGATCACATTTAAAAAAAGAAAAAAATGGGCAAACTCTTTTTACGAATATACAAATATTACCCAAATTAATGTCTATACAAAAATTAAATATACTTCACTCAACAAAATGCATGCGCTGAAATGAAAATCACAATCGTGGGTTATGAACCGGACATGCCTATTTGTACGGTGTATTTTACTTGTTTTCAATTTTCTTTTATGAAAAAATTATTTTATTTTATATTTAAGAATTTGTTTTATTTTATAAGATATTGCACCTTTTTTATTAGTAAATGTTAAAAAAAAACTCGTGGAAGACTGTTTTTGTTTCAATTTATATTTAAAATTTTGTAAGGAAATGTACGTTTTTCATTTTCTCTCCACACAATTCACAATTTTGACGAGTGAAGAATTATAATCCAACCAAACGTGGAGACCAAACATCCAAATGGGCTCCCACAAGCCGTAGTTGTTTGTAAGCTGGGCTTGTTCTAGGGTTTAGGGCTTAATCTAGGTGCTACACTCACAACAATGAAATAAAACAAAAATGCAAGAATTCGTTTGAGCAATAATAACTATAATTCTATAGATTGGATTAGTCTTTCACCTCATAAAATATGGAAATTTATAACCTTCAAAAACTTCCTTTGATTTCAGTAAATGTTTCCCTGATATGTAGAAAATTCAGTTAATTTACTAATTTAATAAGATGATTAATATTGTGTTAGTTTATAGATTTTAAATTTTAGAAAAATTCACACAGTTCAAGGTTCTAAATACCAAGTATATACAGTGAACAAGATTTCTATATTTCTTTATTACACAGTTCGCCGCATAACCATTGTAATCCAAAAATAAACAGAAAACAGACTTTATATAAAGAAATAGACATATATATGTTGATATAAATTGTACTTGTTAATTTCTTTGTAGTTCTTATGAGTCTTCTTTGCCAATAAATTCTTATTACTAGTTGCTCTTTTTCTTTCTCTTTCTCTTATGTTCAAACACTAATTATCAACATTTTAGTAGTAGATAATAAATTTTAACAGGAATTTCAAATATAAATTTTGAATTCTATTAAAAATTGAAAGAGTAAGATAAATTTAAAAAAACTGATAAATTAAAAAAAAAAAAAAAAAAACTATTGTAATGGTGAAAGAGAGTTGGCATGGCGACAATGGGGGAGGCATGCAGCTTTTTAGGGACAAAATAGAGACCATCCGTAAGGTTTGGTACTGTCACGAATTCTTTCCCTTAACATCACTCACTCTTTTGTCTCACCTTTTTACTTTATCAAATTTTGTAACCTTAATATTTTGGATTTTCCAAGCAAAACCTTCTCTTTCTGTGGTCCAGTGCCATGGCAGAAGCTACAAACAATAAAACAAACTCTTCTTCCCTCTACAAATTATTTAGGGTTTTCACACAAGGGTAAAATTTTCAATTGTTTTAGATGTTTGATGAATATATTGCTGAGAATAAAAATGTGATTTTAAATATCAAGAATAAAAAAGTTAAAAAATATAAGGAAGTAAACTCATAATCTAATGTTTTAAGATATTTTTTTAATAATGATGTCAAATATAATGCGGAGGAATTCATATTTGAAGGAGAAAATAAGTGTAAATCTAAGTTTATGCAAAGGAATTTATATTTGAAGGAGGAAATAAGTGTATCACCTATAATCTATTGAGAAATATAAGTGTGAGAGAGTAGTGAGTTCGACATGATATAGAAAAAAAATATAAATGTAAGTCTAAGTGTGTATGAATATAAAATATTATTAATTATGTTGTGTTTGGAATCTAAGGCTGGAAAGAAATATAAAAAGTAAGATTATTTAGATTGAGAGAAAAAAATAAAAAATAAAATAAATGATTGGAAATATGATAAAAGATAAGATTACATGATTGAATAAAAAAATTAAATAATAAAATATATATTAACTAAACATATATTTTATAGTTATGTTCAGTATCTTATTCTATAATTTTAAAAAAATTAAGCTTCATTTTTTCATAAAATATATATAAATTAATTATGTGCTTCTCTTTAATTAATTAATAAAAAACAAATAATCAATTATACAGAATAGCATAATTGTGGATTATATAGGATAACATAATCAACTATGCATAATGATCAGTCAACAAAAAACTTACTCAGAGGTTTGATACAATCAAATTTGCATATTCAATTATTCAAATCATCCAACAAATTGTTCAACCAAATGGATTAGAAAACTTACTGAAACAAGGATGGTTTAATGTAAGTAAAAGAAGAAATAGTGTCTCCCTACAATGTTGTCTTGGACCTGACTGAGTTCACCAAGAGCATGCACTGTGTGGCTGCGGAGATAAAACTGGCGCATATTAATCATTTTGGCTCATTCTTATGCATTTCATCGCAACTCTGAAGGTTGATAATATTTAACTCTTCTTCTCTCTTTTCTTCTTTTCTTGAATTTGCATAAATCAACATAGTCAAAAAATATTTATATTACTATTTTTTATTTAAATAATTATAATAAATTATTATTATTATTATTTAATATATTATACTTTTACTCTATATATATAAAAAATTCATGAATATGAATAAAAAAATATCTACATAAAATATATAAACATATTAAAAATTCCTAAAATTTTCTATAACTTTTTACATTAGATGCTCAAGAAACCTACATGAAAAATTAGTTGTATAACTAACTTTGGATTTACATTTTACTTAATTTATGCTTAATTATATATATATATATATATATATATATATATATATATCATATTACATTATTCCATATTCATAGCACAAAAGCTTTTTTTTCTAACATCGAAGCTCATTTAATATATATTTATAAATATAACATTTAAGAAACTAGTAATAGTCAAGACAAAAATAATTTTAAAAAAGTCATTTTATTTAGAATATAAAAAGAAAATATATAATTAGACAATAATTTTAGTCTATTATAAAATAAAATAAATAAAAAAGAAAATTTAGATTATTTATCTTTATTTTTTAAATAGAACTTATATATTATTACTTTTTAATATTAATTAATTTTAAATCACAATTTAATATGAGTAAAAAAAAAGTAATTTAAAAAGTATTAAAAAGAGTTCCATGTCGATTAGTCTACATCAATTATATCTATTCAAGGAGAAGTAAGAAATGTGGTCAAAGTTTATTTTACCTAAAACCCTTAATTTAATATCATTGGCTTCACCTGTCACCATTTCGTTTTACTATTCCCAAGGGCACGTGGATCCAAAGGTAAGGGGGCTCAGCATAGGAAAGTTAAATGAACAGTGCATTCAACGAGAGGTGGGGTCCAATGAAGAAGCCTCTGCCATTCGAATGGTGAGCCTGAGAGACATGCTCATTGCATCATGGACATGTCAAAATCATATGTTTAATTTTGTGTTTTCATACGATGAGATGGTTATCCTTGAAACATGAATTGAATTGAACACATCTCAACAAATTTACAACAACAACATATGCACTCTATTGAACAGATGTTTTAGCACGAGTTTAATTAGTATATAATATGTAGTTTAATTAACTAATTAGGTGAGGGTATTCTATATATAACTAGGTCTATTATGTGGGTTGTGCAGGGTGCTGGTTGGTGGATACCATCTTAAGTCTCATCTGCTCCTTGCAGCCGGAGCACTGACACAGGATGTTGATCTTTCCTTCTTCGTTTGCTACCCTTCGTGGGGCCCACCCGACATATTCACATGCATTATGTTCAGATAGGTTTAGGTAATTCATATTCTTTTTATATTTCTTGTCACAAAAGTAACCTAAACTGTCACACTAATGTGGTAAGGTAAACCAATTAGTTGAGGAAGAAAGAATATACATGTCAGTGAATAATGGAGTGCCCAAATAATTATCTGTTACATGCTTTCACCTAATAGGTACACCATGGAAGGTGTATATGTTAGAAAAAAACATGTTTAGAAGCATCTATTATATACTGTTATAGAATATTTACTATAGTTTAATGTGGGTGGGATCAGAAGAATGATGTGCATCTCTTTTAAAAGATTTTAGTTTTATATGGAGTTAGATCAAAAGCATGCACATGAAATGAAACTGTGTATCACAAATATATTAATAATACCCAGTTAAAACAGGAAGTTACAACTTGTATATATGGAAACCCCATTAATGTTTACCATGGAAAAACACATGCATGCATGCAGCATAAAATCCCATTTCACTATCATGGGAGTTTTTCCTTTTACCCTTGAGGGAGAGGGATATATTGAGTTTCTCACTGCTATTAATTATAAATCATCATGTGTATACTAATCCGTAAGATATAATATTATTCCAGTAAAGATTATGTTATAATAAGGATTATGATCGAGTGAAGGTTAAAACTGTTTTATAATATGTTGGAGAGATAGACACAAACTTGTTCTGTGAGATGAAGTTGTGAGATGAAGTTAAATCTAGCTAGATACACTTTTGAATAAGATTGGGACAAAAAGGGGTTGTGTGAAAGGGATACGTAGAATATAGCAATGATGATGCACATAGTGTATAGAGAATACAGAAGCAGTGATCAAATCCAAGCACCAAAAGAGGTTGTTGTCGGCTTAGGACATCACTGTCTGGTTTTGATTCCCTTCAGAAATTGGCGTCGGCGCCGGCTCCAGGAGTAAAAATAATATACGTATGAGACTATTAAGTAACAGTTCCTTTCCTCTCTGAAAATTATTGCATACCCTTCTTTCCTTTTTCGACCAAACACCACCATTATTTCCACCCATCAATCCTCACCAACATATTACCAAATATCTCCTCTCACTATCCCTTTCCCACCGCTTTTACCAACATTAGCAGTAATCAACTCTTCTACTTCTTCTTATTCCCTAAGCCTTTTATTCTCCTTTCTATTACCTCCTCCTTCAACATGCATCATTACACATTCTATATATTTATAAGTGTCTATAGCAATTTTTGACACAAAAAAAATTCATTTCTTGTTCAAACATTCATGATTGTAGTGTCATATAAATTAGTCTTATAGAAAAGTTTATTTATTTTTTGATTCATAACAAGAAGCTCATGCAAGTATGTCTATTTTTTATGTTCTTTAATATTGAATAACTGAAGATATATTTTACAGTATGGTATAAATATATTTTACAGTATACAGACATTTCATACTCTGAAATGAAAAAGATTGAACCTGGTTTTTTACTGCACATATAAAATATTAGAATGCAGAACCTCTGAAACCACAGGCTTGGTCCAAAACTACAGTGGAATTAATTTGAAAAGGATAATAATAACACAGAAAAAGCCAGGGTTTTGATAATTCATTGTCTGCAAACAGGAAAAAAAGAAAAAAGAAAGTGTATAAGCGATTGAATTTCTGAAGAAACCCACTGGCTGTCTCTCATTGTAGACAAATGTACAGGCACTAATTTATTCCCCGGTCTCTCAAAGGTCACAATCTTTCTCACTTCTCATTCCCATTCCTTCTTCCACCTCGGGCAACACACTCCATTTTCTTTATTTATCAATTTATTGTTAGCAACAAAAATAAAAATGTACCATTCTGTTCCTTTCTTAGGATCTCATTCTTCCACAACAGTTCAAACTTTGCTCCCTCATTCCTCACCCAAATGCCTCTAACCTACACAATACGTACACACTATTTTTTTCTACCTAAAAAGCTGCCCAACAATACTCCGTACACCGTATACCTAAACCACCACAACGACAACAGACACTTCATACATCATCGTTACATCACATTCTCCACACTCATTAAAACCTCCTTCAATCTCCACACAACAACATTCACTGCAACACAAACACACAGAACATGCTTCCCTTTCGGAGATTCTACGGGTTCCAGAGTTGGCTAGACCACGACTCTACCCACGTCCCCATCTCGTTGATTAAAAGAGCGGTGGAGTTCCACGGCGCCGGATCAAAAACGGAGCGCAAATCAACGGAAGCATGCAAGAGTCACAGGGAAGCTGAGAGGAGACGCAGGCAGAGAATCAACTCCCACCTCTCCACCTTACGTTCTCTCCTTCCTCACGCCGCCAAGGTTATATACAAGAAAATATTAATATGTATATTTACAATATCGTTAATTTCTTTATAGATAAAATATATTCCTTAATTATCATAAAAGAATGATACAGGAACTACAAGTTTTTTCATAAACTCTTTCAAAAATATTATTTCAAAAATTATAAATTAAAATTAATTTATACAAATATATGTATATATATAGTATTTTTTTAATTTTGTTTTTAAGCTATGTATACATTAATTTAATTTAATTCATATATAAACATATTATATGTAAATTGTGTGTAAATTAACTTTAATTTAGAGTTCATTTGGTGTGAGTTTATTTTTTTGCATGGTTGGAGGGCAATTTAGTAAATTTAAACTTGTTTTCAGTCGGATAAGGCGTCGTTGCTGGCGGAAGTTGTTGACCATGTGAAACGGTTAAAGAAGCAGGCTGATGACGTGGCGTGCGCGAACGGCGGCGAAGCGGGTTCGGTTCGGTCTGAGGCGTGGCCGTTTCCTGGGGAGTGCGACGAGGCGACGGTGAGTTGCTGCGAGGGAGAGGTGCGGCGGGTAAAGGCGATGGTGTGCTGTGAGGACCGAGACGGTCTGAACCGGGACGTGACGCAGGCAATCCGTTCGGTTCGGGGGAAGCCGGTTCGCGCGGAGACGATGACGGTTGGGGGAAGGACGAAGAGTGTGGTGGTGGTGGAGTGGGGTGACGAGGTGGTGGAGGGAAAGGAGGTTGGGGCGCTGGACCGGGCTTTGAAGGCTGTGGTAGAGAATCGGGCTTTGGTGGGTTATGGAATGGGCCCAGTTGTTTTGGGCCAGAAACGGGGTAGGGATTGTTGCGGTTCGCCTAGTAGTGAAGTCGCCCAGTTATAAGTATTTAAATATTTAAATACAGTGTAATAACAATAATAATAATATTATTATTATTATAAAGAAAAAATAATTAAATATTTCTTTTACATATATATTTTAATATAAATATAATAAATAAAAATATATATTTAATTAATAATAATTATAAATTATAAATACTTATTTATGTTAAAAAATATGTAAAACAATAAAATCAATTTATTATAAATATAATTATTATTTTTTTAAAATAATATAGATCAAGACAAAAAAATCTCAAATCTAACTAGAAGGAGATGATGATTTAATTTCTAATCTTGACAAAAATGAGAGACGGATATGAGGGCGAGAAAAAAGGTCAGAAAGAGCGATTGAGGAAGCAAAATCTGTCGCATTCTATTCCGTTGTCAACTAATTAAGTATTCTTTATACATTGATATTAGCTTGTTTTAAAAATTAATTATCACATAATAATTATGATGGAATTAAAATTAGTAGATAAATGTAAATCAAATATATGTATTAAAGGGATATCTTGTGTTTGCAATATTTTCTACACTATCTTGAAGATGCACATTTTTGTATGAATTTATTTCAAAACTTCAAATAAATTATTTTTTACAATATTTCATATAATACAATGATTTCATAAAAAAAAATAGTAAAATTATACCACTAAGAGATAAAAAAGAAGAAGAAGTGATGTAACAAATTATGCTACTAAAATAAATCTAACACAATAAAATGTTAAATATTGTACCTTTTTGTGTAAATAACATTAAAAAAATTATTTTGTGGAGATACTTAATGATATTATCTAAAACATTTTTCAACTTTAAATTTATTAAATAAAATTATTAAGTTAATTATTATATTCACAGTATTATTTATTTTTAAATTTAATTGATTAAAATTACTTATTTATGTATAATAATATCATGCGATAAAATTTATATTATTATTTTATATACAGGATTGACACAAGCATAAGGAACAGATAGCGTTGCCAACAATGAAAGAGAGTCACGAGACAATAATGGACATAAATGTCTGGCTGATAGGAAGTCCCACAAAATGGGACAACTTCATGGAACGTATAACCACATGATAAGTCTCTATAGTTGAGTGTTTCCCATGTCATCCTCACTGCCCTTATCGTTTTGCAATGAATACCCACCAGCATAAACAATTAATCATAAAATTCCACGAGTTAATAAACAATGTTTAACTCTTATAATGTCAAAGCTTAATAAAACAACTTTTTAAAAGGATGAATATTAATATGGCATGAGTTGTAGTTCAAAGGGAGTTTGCATTTTGTCATCACTAGTCACCATTTGTTGGAGAGAAGAGAATCAAGAGATGGTTCGACCAATTAGTGAGTACAACCGTAGTATTGCTTCCCCCAGCAATTTTCATAGTCTTGTCCACAAATGTTTTGTTGCTATAATTCTTTGATGTGATTAACTTAATAATGTAGTTTAATGGTTGATGCATTGCAGGGTCAAGAATAAGTTCACTTCTCTGTGCAAAGGCACCTTTAGTAGCCTCACATGTCTATGAATCATGGTGTTGCTCACGTTTCTCTGGTCGAACCAGCTCCTCCTTTATGAGGCCTTGGCCAAAATTTGTGAGTTTCTTCGTTGTTGTTCTATGTTAGTTCATAAGCAATTTACTTTAGCTGTTACATGCTGTTAATCAAACCTTACTTCATCATGGTTTTGTCATAGATGTTTGTTTCTGAATTTGTTTTGTGTTACTTTGTTGGTTTCTAGATGGATTGGATACAGATGAACAGTTGTCGTGCAGCAGCATCATTGCCTTTGATCAAGTAAGTTGAAGTTTGTGATATATTATTACCTTCACGAATATTGTTGAAGCTGTCGGTGTTTTTCTTTAATTAACAACACCTTCTTGTTTGATATATAAACTTTCCTTTGATCAATCTGTGGAAAATTGTGAATTTGGATGAATGATTTGTGTGGGAAGCAACATTGACTATAATTATACCATTTTTCTTCATAACTGTAGAGAGAAACAGCCAGAGGGTCCTAGTTACTGTGCCAGACTGGATCGAGAAAACAAAGGTCTTGATGAAGGGAATATGAGTGAAACTGATGATTATCAAAATTTGTTTGGCTTAATGAAACAGAGGTTTATGAGTTTCAAGAACCAGAAATACATGTAAGAGTCGGGTTGTACAATTTTCCAGGCTTACAAAAATTTGTCTCTTGTTGTTGGTATAGTATCTTACAAGCTATATTTCTTCTAGACAGAAAAGAGTTGGAGCATTTTCAAGCTCTTGAAGAAGCTCAATCTCCAAAGGTGATAACAAACAGATTTAATCTATAGAACATTTTTAGCTCAATTTATTGGGTATGCTGGTCTTAACTGATAAATCCAAATACAGTTTATGGTAATTGCTTGTGCAGACTCTAGGGTATGCCCCTCTAACATATTAGGATTCCAACCTGGAGAAGCCTTTATGATACGTAACATTGCCAATCTTGTACCTCCGATGAAGGTATTAGCATAATTGCTACCGTTATTTTTCATGCCTAGATAACTAATGGGAGCTTCAAACGAATGTTCATTTTTATTTTTCTCTCATCATTTTTTATATTTTCTTATGTCGGATGACAGAATGGACCATCAGAATGTAATGCTGCTCTTCAGTTTGCAGTAACTACTCTTCAGGTATGCACTTAATTATAATGCTTTTGTCTTAGAATAATCAGTCACACATTGATTCACACTGTCGAACTAAATGGAAAAATAAGCTGGTTTCTCTAAATTTCTAAGCCAAGAATTTCAGCAAATGCTATGTCTAAAATGAGAGTTTGACTGAGGGATATCCCTTTGGAATTTTTATTCAATGTTGATTAGCTTATTTTTAGGTTGAGAATATATTGGTCATTGGTCATAGTAGCTGTGCTGGAATTGAAGCTTTGATGAATATGCAAGAAGATGTAGAATCAAGGTATCTCTTGCTAACTACTGCTACTACTCAATTCTTATTTCACCATTAGAACATTTATTTTTATATCCCTAATTCTCATTAGAGTTCACTTATCCTCAAGGAACTTCATACACAAGTGGGTTGCCAGTGGAAAACTTGCCAAACTGAAGACAAAAGCTGTCACAGCTCATCTTAGCTTTGATCAGCAATGCAAATTCTGTGAGAAGGTATCCATCCATCTTATTCTGCATTAGCCTTAGCCAAATAATGTGATGTTGCCACTAAGAACTCTTAAACTTGAATTTGGTGAAACATAATTACATGTACTAGAAATAGTTCTGTGGCACCAAGTTATAACTATAGTTTCCGAAGGCAATTAAAGTTAACTGCAATCAACTTTTGGCAGGAATCTATTAACCAATCATTACTGAACTTGCTCAGTTATCCGTGGATAGAAGATAGAGTGAGAAGAGAGTTGCTTTCTCTTCATGGAGGATATTATAATTTCTCCAATTGCTCTTTTGAGAAATGGACCCTTGATTTTAAAAGATGCAATGTTAAAGAAGAAGGGAGCAGTTATGTGGTGAAAGAACAAGATTTCTGGTGCTGAATTAGCTATGCCAAGAATCTTGAAACTCATGAGGTTGAAGTAAAATTCAATTGGAGGTATACAGTGTACAATACAACTCAATAAATCTTATGTTGCCAGAAAATGAATTAAAGACATTAAATGATTGATGTTTAATGCAGTGTCAGCTTTGTCCTGATTGTAACACAAATCAGAAGAAGAAAACCCTCTGTATCTCTCTCTGTATATGGTCCCCTCTTGATCAATACATGAGTGTTTCTCTTCCTCCACATCTTGCTTTTTAGATTTCATTACCATTGTTTCCATATCAAATAAATTTCATAAATGCATGACGGTGACAAACCAAACCATTGCCTTATCAAATCATTTCATTACATCTTTTAAAGAGTAAAAGATACACTTTCTTCTCTCTAATTCATGAAAGTGTCTTTAAAAAAAAATTGATTTTACAAAACAAAACAACGGATAATGCAGAATACTTCCATAAATAATTATAAAATATCATCTCATATTATCAAATTTTATTTTTATATATTTTTTATCTTAGTTTTACAATCTCATATTTATATACATATTCACTAAAATTATAATATATTAATTATTTTAATTTTATATTATATATTTTAACACAGTATCATGACACTATATAAATGAAATAAATGGCTTGGTCAATTTTGGAAATGAACATTACACATAAGATTATGTAAGCTTGAGTAAGAGAGAAAAACTTGTCTATTCATTAATAAAATCCTTAAAAGTTAATGAAACTAAATGGTTATTTTATTAAATAAGTTGAATAAATCATTTATACATTTTTTTTAAAAAAGAGTTAAATTAAAAATTATGAAAAAATGTACCTCTTTCCTTGAAAATCACGTTAAATTAAACCTACACCTCCTCTAATTTTAAAGTAGACACATTTTTTTCTTGACGATATTTTTATATTTTAATAAAATTACACTTATCTTTCTTTTTATATTTAAAACTATGATATTGACTAAAACTTAAATAAATAAAGATTATAATAAAATAAATAAAATATAAATAATAAGTAACTGTTATAAATAAAAAATTGAATATTAATTTTAAGATATGAATATGTTTTTTAAAATTATGAATGATTAAAGGTAAATAAAGGGTGAGATAAAATTTTAAAAAGAGAAAGAGAAGGAAGAGAATATATAATTAAGAAAATAAAGAAGAAGTGTTATTGTTTGTATTTTTATTACTATTTAATATGTAAGATAAAAATTTCAATAAAAGATGTGATTTAAAGAAACTGAGGAAAGAAGATATCACATAGATAGATATTGATTTTATTTTTTCTTTATTCAGAAAAAACATGGAATCTATTTAAATATTGTCATAGATTATTGATAAAGAAGAAAAAAATAATATAAGAAAAAAATATTATATATTTGAGAAAAAAAAAACATGATACGAGAGTAAAGAGATAAAACATAATATATATTAAAAATTTTAAAAAATAGTTATTTTAAAAACTAATAATATAAAATATTTCACTATAAAGTTTTAACAGTAAATGTTTATATTAGTAATATATAATGAAAATAAATATATATAAAAGAAAATAAATATAATAATTAATAATTATAAATCTCTTAAAAACAATTTACTATAATTAACAACACATCTTTTAAAGTCAACAGGTTTAAACTTTTAATCCATAATTTTGTTGTGTTCATGACAAGTTTTACAATTTTATCTCAAATTAAATGAAATATAATTTAATAAAAGAAATTAATTGAACACTGATGCAACTCTTGATTCAACTGGTTGATTCCATTCCATCTATCCTATTCGTATTTGAAAATAATATTAAAAATTAAAAATGCCAAATATCCATTTAAAAGTTACAAAGAATGTGTGTAATTTTAAAAAAATAATAATAATAAATAAGGGATGTCTATTTTAAAACATAGAAGAAAAGTATTACATGTAAGAACCAATTCTTCAAGAAATTATTACACAGATAAAAAAATTCAAAATTAATTATATCAATACATTAAAATTCATGAAATAATAATAATAACTGTTATTATTATGATAAAACGAATTCTAACATGATTTCATTTTAGTAATAATAATAAAAAAAAATACTTATACAGCCCTTAATTGCAGTAAGGAAATTTCAGTGCTTCCAAACCAATACTAGCCATTTACCAAAGGTGCAGCAGCAGTAGGAGGTCGTGCATCGAGGGGAGCCATGATCTCGCAGTTCTTCGTCCTGTCACAACGTGGTGATAACATCGTTTTCCGAGACTGTTAGTTCTTTCTCTCTCTCTCTCTGAATCCCGCTACTGCTTCTCGATTTTTAGTTTTCTTTGCTTTTAGATCTGATGCTGTTTGTTTGATCCAATGCTTGAATGAATTTGTGTTCAGCTGGAGCGTTTTAGTTTATCTTAATGATGTATAGCATGATTATTTCTAACTCTGTAATCGGTAGTTTGAATTCTCCCGTCCAGATCTTACTTATTCGATTCACAACTTGATCTCATGCTAATTACTAGCTTTTAATTACTTCCCTGACGAAGTAGAGAAACAAGAATTTTGCGTAGCTAATTACATTTTAAAATATCTGAGCACTGATATTTCGATGAGATATTTGCATGGTTAAATTTTGTCGCCCGAGCTAAAACACGTTGTATTGCATCTTGATTCTTTAGCGATTGAAAATTTTTAGTGGAAATGCATTTAAAGAGAAGGCTAAGAGTTGCTCCGATAAATGGTGAGATCTGTTCTGGAAGCTGACCTTTCAAACTCCTATGTTTTTGTTCTAATATTCTCAGTTTATAAAAAATGGGAGTAATTCTACTATTGCTAGGCATGGAGTTTTTCAAACTATAGTTCAGAATCTAGTCGGTGCTTATGTTTTTACGTTGTTCCTGTTTCAGTTTCCTCGTTGTATTTTCCCTGTTGAAGTAACTGCTTTAAATGTTAGATTTCCTAGGTCAAGTAAATAGAACCTAAAACTATTAAGGTATGCTGGGGAATGGAGTACAAACATACGGCTGCTTCCAAACTGCAAAATTTTATGATAAGGATAACTGGAGTGAAGTGAACATCATTATCACTAGAAACTTATTATTATGTTGAATAAAATTTTATTCTATACCCATGGTTGGAAACTTTATTGTCAAACTCGCAATGACTGTTGTTACTCTATTGTCTTGATTACAGATCGTGGAGAAGTGCAGAAGGGAAGTGCAGAGATATTTTTCCGCAAAGTAAAGTTTTGGGAAGATGGGGACCTGCAAGAGGCACCACCTGTCTTTGTAGGTATTATCTTTCTGAATCAAGCTGAGCATATTATAATGTGCTTTAAGCTTGAAAGAGTATGTCACGTTATTAATAATTAATAACTCAATCTCCTTGTTTGCCCCCTAAACCAGTTTTCCCTCTATCCTATAATGCTTTAGTTACTTTCAAGGGACATCAACCACCTTAGATTACACACAGTCCAACAAATTTTGCTTTATATTATACAATTTAAAAGGTTAGAATGTTTAGAACGGGGAGGGGATGAAGAGAGATCCTGTCTGTTGGCTCTTAGTAGATGAATGACCAGTCTTGCTAATTAATAACTATTGTTGTGTCCTGCCTTCAATTTATATATCATTAGCAGAAATGCTATATCTATTTGCCATTGTTGATATCTACATTTGTCAATGTCATCCTCTTATGGTTTTGATAGTAATATAGTGTTTAATTTACTCAATTTAGAACAGTGTTCAGATCTGATAATATGGTTTGTATCGAAGCTGTGAATTTCTATTAACTTTGTGTCATTTACTACTCTTTTGTTGAATATACTGATTTCCTTTGTTCCATGTTTGTTCTTTGACAGAATGTTGATGGTGTAAATTACTTTCATGTGAAAGTTGTTGGCTTGTTGTTTGTTGCTACTACAAGGGTTAATGTATCACCTTCTTTAGTCTTGGAGCTTTTACAAAGAATTGCTCGTGTTATTAAAGATTACCTTGGGATTCTCAATGAAGAATCGATACGAAAAAACTTTGTTCTTGTGTACGAGTTACTTGATGAAGTTATTGTGAGTGTCCTCCCTTTCTCTATTTGGTTCTTTACTTCTTTAAAAGTCCCATATTGTCTTAACTTTAATGCTTCAGTTAATTAAATTATCACTTTATCAGGTTGGCTCCCTTTTTAAATCTAATATTCACACTTGAGGCTGATTTTATTCAAGTTGATTCTTGATACAAGTATCAAGTATTTTTTTAGCAGTTAATGTCAGTAGCATCTGATACATTTGACAGATATGTTTACAATATTTTTCTGGTAATGTGTAAGCCTCTGAAATTTCTGGTGGATGTAGTATCTGATTTTTATTTTCTTTTTAAATACTGAAAGGCCCTATTTGCAATTTTTTAATCCAGCTTTGACCTGAGATTCATAGTTAATTAGTCATGTTTCCAAAAATCATACTTATTGAGTGACCTGTTAACATTTTCGAAGGATTTTGGTTATGTTCAAACAACGTCTACTGAAATGTTGAAGGCCTATGTTTTCAATGAGCCGCTTGTAATTGATGCCGCACGTCTGTCACCTCTTGGACCTGCTTCAATTTTTGCGGTATCATGTTTACTATGTTTAATATCTGGGCACTTATTTTGTTTTCTGTTACTATTGCTAGCACTTATTTATGATATTATTATTTGTTAATTGTGGTTGCATGCAGCAAGGGTCAAAAAGAATGCCAGGGATAGCTGTCACAAAATCTGTTGTTGCTACAGAGCCCGGGGGTAGAAGGAGGGAGGAGATTTTTGTAGATATAATAGAGAAAATCAGCATCACTTTTAGTTCCAGTGTTAGTAAATACGTCTTAAAATATTAAATGATGAATTTTATTACATCGTTCCATTGTTTCTTCATCCATCATGCATTGCGAGTATAGATGCTTTGCTTATTGTTTTTCAGGATGCTATTTACAAATCATGATTATGATTTGTTTAGAGCAAGATTCACTCTTGACCCTCTGGTGT